ACCCCGGCTAGGCGCTAGGCCGCTGCGGCGGCCCGCTGCTCGGCCGCCCGTGCGGCGCCGGTGCGGTCCACGTCCAGCGCGGTTCCCGGGCGTGTCCCTCTGCAGGTGAGTGTTCAAAAATACTCAGAACATAGCCTGGGGATGATTTTATGACCATGTTTGACTACTTGTTTAGTCTTTGTGTTGAATTTTTCTGAATCTGTTGACAGCCGGCTTTTCATCCCGAGCTGTGTTTTGACGGCCCGGGGTTCTTGCGAGGGCCTTCAGAGCCCGAACATCGCAAATCAAGAACCGCAGTTTCTGTCATGACCCGACGGCTGGCGGGCGGTGAAGGTCCACGCTGAGTTCCCGCCCCCAGCGTGGCTGGCCAGGGCGCTCGCCGACGCTACCGCGTCCTCTTCGCTCGGGGGCGCCGACACCGCGCGCGCCAGCGGGCGCAGGTGCTCGAGGGCAGCTGCCCCGTGCCGCCCGCCCGTCTCCAGCGCCAAGGGCACGATACTCCAGCACGGGCGCGCGGTCGGATCCCTCTGGCGCTTGCCCGCTTTGGCCTCGGCGCTGACCGCCCCGCTGCGCCCCCCCGCCGCGGCCGCGAGGGCGCGGGCGCCCCCCGGCACGCCTACAGCGCACCGTGGCGTTGAAGAAGAGCCTGGGGCTGCCCGCCCGCTGGACTTCGAGGTCGAGGGCCCCAACTATACACCTACACCGATCCTGGCCAGGATCGGTGTTGGTGTATAGTTGGTGCCTTCCTATTCGAGGTCGAGGGCCGCCTGCAGCTTCTCCGCCAGGAGTGCGGCCCCGCAGGTGCCGCAGCGGCCCGCTGGCTGGTCCGGCACGTGCCCGCCCGTCTCGCAGTCCCACGCAGGGACGTGCACCTGCATGGCGCTCCTCCCGGTGGCCGCACTCGGCCTTGATGGAGGCCTACGCGCGTTCGAGGTCGCCGCTGCGCGCCATGGTGCCGCCCCCCCCCCCGGCGCAGCGCCTGGCGTAGAGCGCCCGGTCGCCGAGCAGCTCGCTGCAGCGCTGCCCGGCGCGCTCCCCAGTCCGCGCGACATTGCAGCAGGTGTCGCCCGGGGGAGCCGCGGCCTGGCCAAGCAGCGTCCGTGCCGTGCTGGCGCAGTTGGCGTCGTCAAGGCGCCGAACGGCCATGCCCGAGGAGGCGCTCTGCCAAGCGCCAGCGTGCGGCCCGCCGTAGGAGCGGAGTAGCGCCTTCGCCTCCAGCTCCAGGGCCCCCAGCACGGTGTCGTAGGTTTTTCTCGTCGATCCTCGCTGTCAGGGCCTTCTGGAGATTTGGCCCTGGCGTCTCCGCCAGCGTCTGTCTGCCGGGTACGGAGTTCGGCCGGCTCCGCGCCCGGGCGAGGCGGCGGCGGCGCCAGCCCCTCGAGAGCCCCGCTCGTCGCCGGCGCAGCAGGCGTGGCACCAGCGGCCCTCCCCCCTCCTCCCTGCCCCCTCCTCCCTCCCCCCCTCCCCCCTCCCTCCTCCCTCCTCCTCCCTGCTCCTCTTCCGTCCTGCTGCTCCACCTCCGCCCTCCTCCCCGCGAGCAGGCGCTGTCGATGGCCAGGCCTGCCGCCCGCCGCCGCCGCCGTCCCTCCCCCCCCCCCCCCCCTGCGAGAGGTGCTTGCGCAGCTGCAGCTGCTGCACGCCGAGCTGGAGGCCCTCTGAGGGGCGCCTGATAGCGGCCCCCCCCCCCGAGGCCAGTCGCGCTGCGCCTCGGGGCGCGGGCCTCGCTCCTCCTCCTCCTCCTCCTCCTCCTCCTTCCCTCCTCCTCCTCCTCCTCCTCCTCCTCCTCCTCCCTCCCTCCTCCTCCTCCTCCTCCTCCTCCTCCTCCTCCTCCTCCTCCTCCTCCTCCTCCTCCTCCTCCTCCTCCCCCTGCTGCTGCCGCTTCTTCGGGGAGCAGCGGTTTCTTTGGCTTTTTCGGCGGCGTGCCCGTGGGGGGAAGTATAAGAAGGGGCGGGCTTCCTCAGAATGGCTCGGGAGGCCTCCGGCCTTCCAAGAATTCGAGCCATCCCCAGAGGCATCGAACCCTTCCCAGAAGGCAGGAGAGCTTCTGAGAAGCCCCGCCGCCTTCTGAGAACTGAGAAGGCCTCCTCCCCCTCACTTACCCCCTCGCTCGCCGCCGGGCTTCAACTGGTTCGACCTCGGATGATCCACGCGGTGTTAGAGGACGGTGCGCGAGTCGGCGCGGCAAGAGCCCGCCAGGTCTCAGAGGAGGGAGCGGTGCCGCTGCCCGTTCTGGAGGGGCTCTCGTCGCCACGGCTGTGCTCGCTACGAAATTCATGCCAGTACAGTGCCGTTTTTAGGACATGCTCCGCGTGCGGATCATGTATTAAAAGTGCAAGGATGTTGTACTAAAAACAACGATGAATTCATGCATACATGTATCCATACATGAATCCTGTATTAGAAAATCCCTAATTGTTTTTAACATCCCATGTGTTAACAAAAAACTGCCCTGTACGCACCCCAGATGAGGTCCGTGGAGTAATTCGTGGTATCGGTGCTACTTTGTCCCCCGAGCGATTGCTTGTTTTGGCTTCTCCAGCGCGTAACGGTTGCTATCCAGGCCAGGCGCCTTCCCCCCAGGGAGCGGTGACAACCGTACGTCGCCGAGCGCGTTCCACCACTCACACCATGCCAGTGCAAACGTTCAAAAAAATCCAGGTCTGCCTCTATGTAATATATCTTCAAATGCTCGCGGCAGATCCAAGCAATTCGCGAGTAGCTGATTTGCGAGTAGTGCAGCGCGCTTGTCCAGTACGTGGGAGGGGGGTGTGGCCCCTGACCTTCCAGAGTGCTAGAAAATAACATGTCAAACCTATCGACCTGTCTGGACTGCTGAAAACCTCAATTTGAAATTTGGGTATCTAGATCCAGGTGCTATTTTGTTTGCCCTCCTGAAAAGTCAGGGTGGGTGGGAGGGGGGGGGCTGGACCCCCCCCCTCACATGCTAGTGCTCGGGTGCGTACTATGGCATCGCAGCGCACCCCCGCCCCGACGTGCGCCACCGCGCTCAAGCGTCACAGTGGAGGCCCATGCCAAGAAACACCCTGCTTGCCTCAAGGGTGCCCTGGGTGTCTTGGGTTTCGAGTGTTTGCCGTGGGAAGCGCGACGTTCCCACACCAAAAATCAATGGACGTCCTGGGGTCTCAGGGTTGGGTCTCTTGTGGGAGGTTTCTTGTGGACTGGCCTCCACTGTAGTTTTACCCGGGGCCCCAGCTCCCCCCCCTATGGTTACGAAACGACCTCTTACCGTAACTAAACTTGAGCAACCCACAAGCCCAGGAAAGAAATTCAGTAACATGATCTGCTGTCAGACTTCTTTGGTGCCGCCTTCAGGTATGTGTGAAGATGTCTCAGACAAGAGGCAAGCTCCTGAAGGTACATGGCATCTGGGAGCTCACGGAACATTTCTTTGTTTCTGAGGATGTCTGTAGCGAAACGCCCTGTCGCACAAAATCCAACGCCCGAGCTCAACATCTCAATTGTTTGAGGATGTCTCATGCGAAAGCTTCACTGTTGAGAACCAACGTACCAACGCAGCAAAACAATTCCTCCACCATTCCCATTTTGCGAGGTTGTCTCAGGCGAAACGCCCCCCTTCTTCCCCACCCTCCCCACACCATGTTGGTTATCCGATGCCCGATCTCCAACGTATCATTCTTCCGAGGACGTCTAGGCAAAAGCTTCGTTCTCGAGAACCAACGTCGTAACATATTTTTTTGGGTTTTTAACAAAAAATCATGTTGTGAGGACGTCTCAAGCCGAACGCCGTGCGATCCCAATTAGGGGAAAGCTGCGTATTGCATGGGTGCAGAGCTTGTCATTATTTGGCATTGCTTGGGATTGCTTGGCATTGCTTGGCATTGCGTGGCAGTGCTTGGCACCCGGGGAACCCCGGAAACCCAGGGAACCGGCGAACCTTGGCGTGAGGCACCCTGGGAACCTGGGGAACCTCGGAGCAAAGGGCAACGTAGTATTAGTAGGCACCAACCGTTAACCCAGTAGGAAGCCTCGTAGCTAACCCTAATTGAGGAAAAAGCATCGTCGTAAAATAGCTTCTCGAACATCCTCGTTGTATGAGGATGTCTATGAATGTCTCAAGTCGAATGCCCAGCCCCACACCATGTTGGGCATCCGACGTCATATCTCCAACGTGTCAGGTCCCAATGATTTATCAGGCGAAACAGCTCAGCGTGGTAAATCAACTCCTCCAACATCTCGATGTTGGGAGGATTTCTCAGGCGAGATCCCCCCCCTTACACACCATGTTGGATATCCGACGTCTGACCTCCAGCATCTCGATTGCATAATGACGTTTCAGGGGGGAACGCAATTTTGAAGCCAACGTTGCAAAACAACTTCGACATCCCCAATGTGTGAGGACAGTGCAGGCGACACACCAACCCCCACACCATGTTGGATATCCGACGTCATACCTACATCTCATGTTATGAGGAGGTCTCAGCCGACATCTTCGTGTTCGAAAGCCAGCGTCGTACAACAATTCCTCCAACAACCTCATGCCGTGTGAATGTCTCAGGCGAAATGCTTCCTCCACACCAAGGTGGATATCCGACGCCCCCTGTGGAAACGCGAACACACTTGACGCGCGCACACGCGCCAGGCGTATGTTGCCCCCCCATCCATCTTCACTGTTACGCGTAAATATTCCGACGCTTCTACGTTGGAACCCCCCCTTGGAGTCCCGCTGCCGCCAGGAACCAACGTCGTACAACCGCTCTTCCGACATCCGCATTTTGTGAGGGTGTCTCAGGCAAAACGCTCCCCCACACCGTGTCTGAGACACGACGCCTGATCTCCACCGGTTGATTCTTCTGACGATGTCGAAGGTGAGAGCTTCTTTTCTGGAAGGGATGTCTATTGCAATCAACTCTGTGACCGCGACGGGCCGCCGCCAGAAGCGGTTCGATTCTGGCGGCGGTCTGTCGCGGTCACAGTGTTGATTGGCGCGGGATTCTTGGGCGACAGGCGGGAGCGGGCGACCGCGGGGTTGCGCGCATTCACCTGCTCGCTTGGCTTGGAAACATGGCGCGCGCTCACCTTGGGAACGCCATCCCCGCGACCCCCCCTGTCAGGGAACCCACGGCTGAAGTGGGTGGCAGGCGATTCACGGCCCGCCCGCGAGGGGCCGTCTTCGTTTCATGTGCAGACGGGCGCCCTTCGCTCGCGTCGCTCCAGTAGGGCGACCTCCATCGCAACAATAGGTGGCGATCCCTGGGGTGTCTTCGCGCGCGTCATTGGCGCGCTCGCTGCTCTGCATTGCTGCGTGGTGCGTTGGCGTCGCCGTGTCAGGCATTGCGGGGATGCTGGTCAGGTGCGTCATCGCCGACGTGCTCGGATTTCCATTGTCTTCCCGCGACGGGCGGTCGGCGGACCAGGCGAGAGACCGCCCGATGGCGCGAAGCCGGTTACCGGTGCGAGGCACCTTTTTTTCCACGCGGCGGGCCGCGCCATCGGCCCGCGAGAGCCGCCGCGCAGGGGCGCCCTCTTCGGATCACCGCTCGGTTGCCGATCTGACTGGCCCGGCCTCGCCCGCGGTGCCAGGGCGATGTGTCGTCGTCGGGCCTCCTCCTCCTCCTCCTACTCCTCCTCCTCCTCCTCCTCCTCCACCTCCACATCCTCCTCCCCCTCTTCCTCTTCCACCTCCTCCTCCTCCTCGTCCTCCTCCGCTGTTGTTTCCGCTGTTTGCGGCGGCATGAGGGATCCGCTCCCTGAGCCGCAACCGAGGCGCCTCTGCGCCCGAGCCTAGCCGCGCGCGCGGCCGACACGCGGGCGCCCTCGGCGCCGGGGGGGGGACCCCGCCCAGGGGGAGAGGAAAGGGCCTCCAGGATCACTCGGGGCAGAGGAAGAGCGGGAGGGCGAGGCCCCAGTGACGCTAAAGGCCAGGCACCAGTGGACCCCGCAAGGAGGGAGGGAGAGGGCCTGCGCGGGTCCCAAGAAGAGGGAGCGGGGTCCAATGGCCTGCATCTCGCCCTCTGGCCCGATGCGCTGCCGCCCAGGATAGCAGCCTGGCCAGCTGCGTCACCTGTCCTGGGCGGCAGTGCGCAGGCCTTGGAGCACGGTGGGCCAGGGCTCGCCTGGCGTGCCACCCCCTTTACCCCCACAAGCACAGGGCCCGAACCAGGAAGCCATAATTGGAAGATGAGGCGGCTGGGGGTAATGGGGGTGGCACCAAATTATGTCCCTCGGGACCCCGACGGCTCGGCCCCCTCACTGGGCCACGTCGGTGGTCCTTGGTCTTGTAGTAGAGCATGATTCTGTTGCCCTCGAGCTTGTGGTACTCGACTCAGTTATGCTGGTCGAAATTATTGTTGACTCTGCTGTGCCCAACCCTGTGGCCCTCGACCCAGTCACTAGTCATTCTGGTATGGCTTGACCCAGTAGCACTATCTGTTGTCCTCGACTCGGTAGTGCTGGTCCTCGCAATACGCTTTGTGACTGTGATGCCAAGCTTGTGGTGCTCGGGCCGTCGCTCTGATTGAAGCAGTGGCTGACTAGCTGGCCCCGACCCTGTGGTACTCGGCACCGTCGTGCTGGTCGAAGTGGCAGTACTTGTCTCGGTATGATGAACCTTCTCCATTCGCTCCATTCACTCCGTTCAACTCGGCATCGATGATCCAGTGGTCGTTTGGCTCGGTGATGGCAGGCTCTTTGTACTGGGCTCGGTCGCGCTGGTCGAGTGGAACTGTTTGACTGTGTGGGGCTCAGGCTCCTGGTGCTCGACTCAGCCGCTGAGGTACTTGTCGTGCTGGTTACAGGTCGTTGGGGATCGGCTTGTTGCTGGTAGGTGGAATAGGTTGGAGGCGCACTCAGGCCTCCATGCACCGACTTCAAGTGGGGTTCTTGGCGGCCCCACCTCGTCCCGCTATGGCTAGGGGTCACAGTGCCCTCGGTGGGGGCGAACCCCAGGCCCAGTGATTCTTCTGTTATCGATGAGGAAGGTCTCGGCTGCCCTATGCTTCGCACTTGGGCGCTCGGGAGCTCCATCTCCGCCATGGGAATGGTGGGGGTGGCGAGCTAGGGCGGACCGCGGGGGCGCAGGTAGTTGCGTCCTACCCCCCCCCCCCCCTGCCCCTCACCATCCCCCCTGGTAGGCGCGGGCAGTGCTCGTCCTGCCCCCCCACCCTTCGAGCCCGTCTCGAAGTTTGATCCTTGCCTCGCCAGGGCAGCGTTGACTTGTACTTGGTGTAGTTGGCATGTCGTCTGGCTGGTACCTCTGAGCCCTGGCTGCACGGCGGTCGTGTCCATCACTGCTGCGAAACGTGGCGACGTGTGCCTGGGGTGTTCCCTCGCATCCGGGGCTTCCCCAGGATTTGCGCCCTGACAACTTGTGCAAAACTTGGCGACGTAGCCTGAGGTGTTCCCTCGCACTCGGGGCTTCCTCAGGACTTGCGTCCTGACCCTTTTGTACTTGTCGCCAGGGCTCTTCGTCGCGATCCGCGTCGTCAGCCTGTGCTCGATCAGCTCCCGTCGAGTTGGTGGTCCTGCCCATTGCCTTGTCGGGTCGGTCCTGTAGGGCCCACTCCCTCGCCTCCTCCAACCAGGTCGGGGCGCTCCCTCGCCTCGCTGGGCCACGGTGGTAGTCCTGGCCCATCTCCCTGGTCTTGTAGCGGTCGGGCGGCTGGAAGAAGTGGGCCACATCGTCGTCGATGTGCCATCCGTTGGCGTCGCTAGGCGATTCGCCAAAGCGCCACCTTATCTGCTTCGCCAGTGCAGTCGCGATGGCCTGGCACAACCTGTTCGGGTACTCCTTGGCTGCCGCGGTGCGCCACTGGCCGTCGTCGTTGATGCCCGCCAGCTCCGCGTGGTAGGAGGCCGTGTGGAAGCACCTCCCGCCTCCAGGCAGTCTACTTATTTCCGATCGGAGAGTTGGGAGGGATACCGCCAGCAGGCTTGTGGACTTCCTCGAACGCGCTCCACAGGTGCACTGGTCGAAGGTGATCAGCTCGACTCCCTGCTGGCCCAGGAGGCGGCGCGTCTCGGGGATTCTCCAGGAGCTGGCGAAGTGCTCCTCGGCGGGCTCGCCCGGGTGCTCGAGCATGCCTGGGGCGCCAAGGTTGAGGCGCATATACATGAGCTCCAGCTGTGTCCTGTATAGGCGATTGCCTATCGCTACTTGTTCCATCTCTGGACGGGGAAGGTAGCGGATGCCCCACAAGCTGCTGCTGCTCCTTAGGGGTCTTGGCGGGCGACCCCTGCAGTCATTGGGAGGCAGGTGGCGCGCGCGGCTCCAAGCCTCGCACGGCGGTCCGCCGATGACTCCTGCAATCCCCCCTGCTTGTGCCATGCCTCGCCACTTGTGGACTGCGACTTCTGATGTCAGGTCGCCGAAGGTCGGGTCGTTGACAACGTCCAGGCTGAGCATGTGCATGTCGCATGAGGCCCGACTGCTTATACGGTCGAACCAGTCCTGAACGTCTCCCTCTCGGCGACGACCGCTGAACAAATGCAGCACGTATAGAGTCCGAGCTGGCCTGGGCCTGGGTGCAGCAGCTGGCGGCGGCGGTGGCTCCTCGATGAAGGGGAGCTCGAGGCTCTCGTAGTGGCCGCCATTGCTGTCGTCGCTGTCGTCGTCCGTGTGTATTTCTGGAGGACGAGCAGGGACTGCAGGCTTCTCTGCCCAGTCGATGGGCCTGCCAGCCCTTCTGTTCGCCTGCTGCTGGTCGCGCACCACTTGCTGGTTGTGCTGCAGCTCGGCTTTGCTGAGGAGTGCTGGACGTGTTTTTCGCCAGTGTCGAGCGCACCTACGCACCCGCAGCAAGTGCTTGACCAGCCTGTTCGTGGTGTGGTAGTCCATGCCGCATCCGTAGCAGACCGAACCAGTTGCCCACGAGATAGGATGCCCCGACGAGGTCTGGTCCTTGGTGATGTGGGCTCGTAGCACTGCTGCGCTGAGTTCAGTACGTCCGCAGTGGTAGCAGAGGTACTTGCGCTGCTGCTCGAAGTGCTGGTCTGGGAAGGGCGAGATGGCTTCCGTGTTTGTCCACCGCTGGAGTCGTAGCCGCCATCGAGCGTGGTGGTCGTGATCGTACTGGCGGGCTTTGCCGCGTTGGCAAGCTTTCTTGACTGCGCTGAGGTAGCTTTTGTAGTCGTTCCTGGCCCAGTCCTTCCAGTCTTCGAGCGTGTGTGCTCCACCGCGCTCGTCAGGTCCTGTGCGGTCGCGGACCCAGTCTAAGTCGCGGCGGAGCAGAGCCACCCAGCCGTAACTCCCGTCCCATGCTTGGCTGAGTAGTCGGCGGAGGTGCAGGGGTCCCCAGTTGAGGCATCTACCGAATAGTCGTAGTCTCTCAAGACGTAGGACGATCTCGGGGGGCAGCTTGTCGACTCCTTCGAGGATCTGGGTGTTCGTGACCTCCTTCTTCTGTCGTACTTTCCAAGTGATCCTCTGTGCGGCAGCGTAGTTCACGACATACTGGTTGTTGAAATTCCTGGCCTGGCCTTCTGTGAGTTCAGGCCAGGTAGACGCATTGTATAGCAGCTGGGATAGCACCACACTGTCGGCTAGGTAGGCTTTGTCTTTGACGGCCAGCTCTGAGCGACGGTGGACTTCACGATTTAGAGGCCGCGTGGATGTCGCCGCGGTGGCTACCTTCACTGCGATATCCACCCCAGGGGATGCATTGTCGGTTGCGTAGGTCCCGAGGAGCTTGTGGTGGCGGACAACCTCGACGTGGCTCTCCGCGAGAGGGACCTCGATCCTCGGCACTCCATTGGAATAGAAGCTGGCCCGAGCTTGCCGGCTCCCAGGCCCACTGAAGTCGATCATCACCTTGGTCTTGGTGGGCTGCAGCTGGAGGCCGAAGGTGCTGGTGGCGCAGTAGACGGCTTCGCAGAACCCCGTGGCCTCGGACTGAATGTGATCGGGGCTGGTGAACACGTGCATGCCCGTGAGGTCGTCGACGAACGATAGGCCGTGAGGTTCGTGCTCCTGGAGTGGTCCGTCTGTAGGGTCGGTGTCGCATGCGAAGCTGCTCTCTAGGGGCTTGCCCTGGGCCCTTAGCCCTCGCTGCGTAAGGTAGCTGTCAATCATGCGGTGGACTCGGCCGAAGAGCAGATTGAAGTCCGCGTCGGCTAGGGGCACGCCAGGCCTCGTGCCCTTGTGCGGCGCCATGAAGTTCTGGGAGAACCTGTGCGGTGTCCACCTGTTGCGATACCCTTCTGCTATGAGGGCAGCCAGGTGGGAGCCGTCCAACACTGTGTCTAGTATCCCTGGGTTGGCCATGAGGTGCTCCAATTGTGGCTGGGCCCATAGGGGAACTTCTAGGTTATCTAGCACCTCCTTGACTTCGTCCTCCTCGCCTGGGATGCCGTGGACCAGCTGGACGACAACCGAGTAGAAGGCTTCCTTTAAGTCGTAGCAGCTGATCATGGAGCACTTCCCTTGGGCCTGGCTTCTCTCTGTGAAGAGGCGCGCTGCCAGGGCCGCCATGTCAGCCCCTCGCTTCGGCCGGCCGCCAACCTGGATGTCCTCCAGCGCTATGGCGAGGGTAGTGTTGAGCATGGCCCTTAGGTATTTATGGTGGTGCTTGCCCGGGACGCTGTTTAAGAGGATCTCGCGGTGCGCTAGGAGGTATCGTGGG